GCGAGTCATTTTTTCAATTTAGTTCCCGGCCCGCAATACTAATAACCAGGCAAATGATCTTAGAATGGTAAGTTATTAATGATCTTTTTCACTAAGCCAGCACCACCAGTCTTTCTTTGTGACAAATGACCATACCTATCAGAAGACAAAGTCTTAATGAAACTAAAAAATACATAAACAGTTCTTTTATAGTTAGTAGTCTCATTCGTTGTTCGATCGATGACTAGCAAACAATATGGACTTCGAAGAGCAACCACTTAAATTGCTAGTCATAAATTTTGATTGTGTGGTTGAGACGGAAAAACGAGAAAAAAGACATGGTGAACTACTACCTACCAGTATACGAGCAGTTTTCTGTGGTCCTAGTACGAGGGTCGTTTGAAAAGTCCGTGCAAAGTCAGAGAAATGGCGCTACTAGTGCGTATCAAGGTTATTTTCAGTTAGTGGCATATCTTGGAAGAGTACACACCAAGTTTCAGCCAGATCGGCCAATTACTTTGAGTTTTACATTCGTTTCAATCAAAGAAATCGAGTGGTTGTAAAAAAATGGACGAAAAAGAATTTCGTGTATTGATTAAACATTACTTTTTCAAAGGCAAAACGCCTCAGGAGATTGAACAGAAGCTTGATAAACATTATTGTGATTGTGCGCCTTCGATTAGAATGGTTTATAAGTGGTTTCAAAATTTTCGAAGTGGCCATATGAGCACAAGAGACGCTGAACGTTCTGGCCGCCCTGTTGAGGTTACCACTTCAGAAATCATTGATCAAATCCATGATATGGTGATGGCTGACAGAAGAGTGAAGGTGCGTGAAGTTGCCAGTACTGTAGGTATCTGGAGCGAACGGGTACATAATATATTGCACCGACACTTGGACATGAAAAAGCTATCCGCTAGATGGATGCCGCGATTGCTCACGATTAACCAAAAACGAGATCGTGTGAAGTGTTGCAAGAATGGTTTGCAGCTGTTCCAGCAAAATCCCCAAGACTTTAAGCGTCGTTTCATCACTGTAGATGAAACATGGATACATCTCTACACTACTGAGACCAAAGAACAGTCTGAACAATGGATTACCAAGGGGGAATCTGCTCCGAAAAAGGCGAAGACAATTCCTTCGGCCGGGAAGGTTATAGCGACTGTCTTTTGGGATTCGCAAGGAATAATCTTCATCGACTATCTGGAAAAGGGTAAAATCATTACAGGCGAATATTATTCATCATTATTGGATCGTTTGAAAACCGAGTTGCTAGAGAAACGTCGAGGATTGACCCACAAAAAAGTCCTCTTCCACCACGACAATCCGCCAGCTCACGCCTCAGCAGTTGTGACCGCAAAACTGATGGAGATAGGGTTCCAACTCGTTTCCCATCCACCCTATTCTCCAGATTTGGCTCCGCCGGACTACTATTTGTTCCCTAATATGAAAAAATGGCTGGCGGGGAAAAGATTTTATTCAAACGAGGAGGTGATTGCAGAAACGAATGCCTATTTTACAGACTTGGACAAATCCTATTATTTGGAAGGGATTAACAAACTAGAGCAGCGTTGGATGAAGTGTATAACCCTAAAAGGAGACTATGTTGAAAAATAAACAAGATTTATTAAAAAAAATCAAGCAGTTTTTATTTTTGCACGGACTTTTCTAAAGACCCTCGTAACTGTGAAAAAACTAACTGTTTGCTAACACTAATCACACATCCTAATGGACTTAGATTCGAAAACGTTTATATTTATTCAAAGTCTCTCAATCAACCAAAGTATAAATTTTTAAAAGATTTATTGGAACCGATTGATGATATACAGTATTATGCATTCAGCGAGCATGAGGCAGTTGTTTCACCGGGTAAAGCTCATCCAAATTCCATCATGATTTTTGACGATATAGCCACTGAAAAGCAAGACAACGTGAGAACATTCTTCTGTATGGGAAGACATAAAAAAGTAGATAGTTTCTATTTCTGTCAATCATACGCTCGCATACTGAAGCATCTCATTCGAGATAATGTGAATTTACTAGTTTTGTTTCGACAAGATGATGTGAATATTAAACATATTTACAGCGATCATGTTAACTCAGATATGACTTTTGAGAAGTTCAAAGCAATTTGTTTAAAATGTTGAAGAGACGATAATCATGAATTTATAATTATAGATAGAGATAGAGTAATCAATCATGGACGGTATAGAAAAGGATTTAATTCTTTTGCTATAGATATAGCAGAGTGAACGGATAAAGATTATTTAACTTTAGAAATTACAAGCGTCAACATGGCTAATTTTGAAAAAGAAAAGAAAGTGCTCGAGCAATTATCTGAGGCTCGTGATATCATCAGACGTAAGTATCAACTAATAAAACGTGACAAAGCTGATTTAGAAAATTAATTGAATGAAACTTTTAAACCTATGGTTGATCCATTGAAGAAACGTGTCGAGGTAGCTATTGATAAAACTAACGATAATACTGTACAGGAAACAAACAAAGAGAAGAAAATTACGTTCCATAAAGTTATCAAGTCACGAACAACAGATGACAGTCTCTAAAATCTTGATATTTCAAAAGTACTATTAAGGGTGTTATCGTGTTACAATACTCTTCAAAAGTATGAGTCGAAGACTGTACTGCGAGCTACTGTCCGTTCTACTGTTGGTGGACCCATACTTTTGTAAGTGGCTGTTCACACACACATACCAATCGTCTATCCATGTGCACGAATACTACTCTGCGAGCGTGAAAATATAGATGCGGCAACATCGCAAAGCAAGCAGTAGATAATACATACACTCGCCGTCGTTGATATACAGAGTGTTTCTGCTGGTTTCTGCGTTTATCCTAATTATTTTTCAATGGGTAAAAATGAGTGACAGGCCTAGACTCAAAAACGGCAGATTAACTAAACTGAAAGTAATAGAAAGTAGAGCAAAATGTTTAAAAGCAATGGCTTTAGCCAAAACAAAGAAACAAGAGAAGAAAAGAAAAGAGGTGGAAAGCAACACGTGCGAAGGATTCCGCGTGGTTAATCTCAAAGAACTAGGAAACAATTTGACTTGCTTTCAATGTAAAGAAACTTTGAGTCTTGCAAATATAAAATGCGAAACCCGTGAAGGACTTTTCTGTATTTTGAAAGTTGCTTGTTTGAAATGTAGTATGCAAAATGTGGTGCACACTGGCAAAAAAATTAAGATAAACAATGCAATTTACTCAGATGTAAATATGTCAGCTGTTTTGAGTATGTTGATTACTTTATATATTATAGTTACAGTTAATTTATATATTAAGTTATTCTAAATTCATGTTATTTTATGTTTAGGCACAATGTATTCTGGTATGGGTTGTACTGAATTGATCAAACTATTGAGCTGCTTGGATTTACCAGGTGTTTCTATGGATTTGTATAAACGGTATAAGGCTGTTGTTGGACCTGCAATTGAGAAGGCTGCGAGAGAGAGTTGCAAAAGAGTTGGTGAAGAAGAGAGAAAGTTGGTCATTGAGAATTTAGGAAAATTGTGTGAAAATTTGTAAGTTCACCTGATATGAACTATCAGTAGAATAGTGTTATACCGGTTACATGAGTGATTAATTTGTGACATGCTGTTTATTGCAGCAATTGTATCATGATCAATTTCATTATTATCTGATTTTTTTAATGTATTTTTTTGTTCTAACTATTTTGCACGTGGTTATTAAACCCAATACGTCTGATTTTATACTACAGAAAAAGATACTTATATGAATGTCCTATATTATATGAGTATTGTTTAGCATAAATAACTAAATGAAGTTATAACTATATGTAATTGTGATCAATAATTTTATATACGTCTAATTTACAAACGTTCTACTTGACATGAACGACAGATGTGCGACTTACTATATAAAAAAAATTCTTTGTTTTTCAGTTTGAATTCTGTTTTTATAAAGAAATGCAAAGTCTTACAAGTGTGCCTAATTGAAACACAATTGAGACCGAAATTTTTCAATAAAAAAATTATACAATCATCTTATATAGTTTATTTTTTTTATAGGCCCCCTGAGATATTTGCAGATGTGTATTGTTGTTTGCAGACAATAAAAAATAAATCTATTACTGTTGATGTATTTAATGCATTGTGTGGAGAAATTGTTAATATAATAGTATCATTTGATATGGGCTGGAGTAAACGGAAATGGTCGCAGCTATGACAATTTGAACGGATACGCAGCTATAATAGGATTTCTTAGTCAAAAAGTCATTGATTATACAACGCGTAATCGTCAGTGTGCCATGTGTGATAGAAACCATGATAAAACAGATCACGGTTGCAGGAAAAATCACACAGGCAGTGCTAAGTAGATGGAGGCAAGTGCCAGGGTACAGCTGATAAATCAAAGTAAGATACTTGCAGAAGTCAATTTGAATGTGGGTGTCGTTATACGTGACGATGATAGCAGCACTATAGCTGCAATCAGACAAGGTCGCAATCAAGCAATTCATAAGTTGTCGGACAAAAATCACCTTGTGAAAAATTTTTTTAGTGATTTGTATGGAATAGCTAACAACTCCTGCAAAGAATTAAAAAAAGTTGGAGTTATTCTACACATGAAAAAATGTTTTCAATATGCTATTTCCCAAAATAAAGGCCAATCAGCCGATCTAAAAAAAGTAATATTGAGTATAATAGATCATTTTTATGACCAACATGAAAATTGTGGGTCGTGGTGCCGAAGTTTTGAGAGCGACTACTCGCAAACAATTATTTTGAAAGATAAATGCGCATATGAACAAAAAAGTAGTATTGAGCAGATACGCAAGTAAATCTGATCAATATACGGTGGCTGCTTTTAGTCAGGCGAACGAGAGTTTAAATAGTATAATATGCTCTAGAGCTCGAAAGAGTAAATGTCTCTCTAAAACAGCAGCATGTGATTATAGAGTCGCTTTTTCGGTTTTGACAAAAAATGAAGGAGATTCTAGACTAGTCATGGTAGCTAATATGTTACAGTTGGGAGCTTAAAATATGTTGCATTACTGTGAAAAATTAGATAATTTAAGAAAGAGGAAATCATTACAGAAAACTACAAGGCAAAGTAAACTTAGAAGAATCGAACTCACAGCTACAAGAATCAACTCGCGCAAGCAAAACGAGAAATCCGAAGGTGTTGCGTACCAAAGAAATGTTGGAATCAATACCACGAATACTGTGATATCGGCTAGTGTCTTGGATAAAGTGGTAGAAATAAATGACACTGCATCGGAACTTGTTTTCTTCGATCTAGAGACGTCAGGACTTGAAGAATCGTGTGACATATTACAAATAGCTGCAGCTTCAAGTACTATTGAATTTTGCACGTACGCTCTGCCTACTCGGAATATTCCTATGCAAGTGACAAAAGTCAATGGTTTATCTGGACATTCAGTCAATTTATTTTTCAATGGAAAAAAAGTTGAAGCCGTAGAATTAAATGAAGCACTGATGGCCTTTTCAGCTTTCTTGAAGACAGTTTCACCTTCGTGTACTTTAGCTGCACATAATTCTTCTTTTGACATGAATCGACTTATTTATGCGATAAATAATAAGGATCTCTATGAAGAATTTAAAATCATCGACAGTTCTGTTGATACTCTTCGAGTTTTCAAAATGGAATATCCCGAATGAAAAATTAGTCATGAAGGGTATAAATTGGGAGACTTGGCTCACGACTTTTTGGGTTTAGATGAAGAGTCTGCATTTCATGAAGCTCTATTTGATGTGCAAGTTTTACAAGAACTTGTAGACATTCTAGAATTACAGGACAAACTATTTGCTAATAAAATTAGTTTTTATACTTCCGTAAAGAATTTTATAACTAGGCAATTAATTAACAGTCGATTAGGTCCTTTGAAAAATATCGCAAGCGCTGGCATTCTACAGAAAATGAGTTTGGCTAACATCAGCTTTGATAGTTTACTTACAAAGTATAAAAGTGAAGGTTGCGATAGTATAGTCAATTTGCTATCTTAAATGAGTAATATAAATGGAAGACCAATAGTTACTAGAGATAAAAAAACTCTCGGAAAAATAATTGACTTTATGGCCAGTTACAAATAGTGGAAACATTGGTATTACATATACTTATAATTAAGGTGATATGTTGGCTAAAAAAACTTGAAGATATGTATAGCATATTATTTAATCGTTACGTGATTGTTATTTGAAATATGTAGTCGGATGCAAAAAATATATTTATATTTACCTTGTTTATGAAAAGTGCAAAACTATTTTTAAAAAGAGATTTTTTATGAAAGAACAATCGTACAAAGATATTTTGAGCTTTAAATATTTTATAATATATTTTTTTGAAAAATTTTTTGAAAAAAGTGTTTTTGTAGGAATATTTCATTTTCAATTTTCAGTGAAAGTTTACGCGCGTACATGTAACAGATACACTACACAAATAATGACTAAAAGTAAAAGGTGTTTTTTATTATTTGTTTTTTCATTCAATTACCCCATCTTTTCACATAAATAATTTGCATCTATTTTCATGTTAAAATTAAATAAAAGAATTTAATGAATCATATCGAAATCAAAATAGTTTTGGTCTATAGCATGTTGCGTTTGAATTCCTATACGCTGCGCCGGTGCAGTTCACTACAATGATCTGCATTGTCAGCGGTGTTGCCAATTCTTCACACGTGGCCACATGTTATACCAGACTTACGAAAAAAGTATGTATTTTTGAAGATATTATCTCTGAAACGGTGAAGTAAAAGATATTTTTTATTTTTTTATATAATAGCTACAACCTTGCTCATTATCACACTAGTTTTTTTTTTAAATCTACAGAAAACTTTCAGACTTATTTGTAATTATGTCGTTGCGGGAACGCTCTTCCCCATAAGACGCCATGTATAAGAATTCAAATTTACGATTTTTTTTCTCGTATTCGGTGAAGCTAGGGTCCCTGAATTTTTTATATATTATAGAGGACACCGAAATCTATACACACCAATTTTTCTAAAAAATTCTACAGAAAATGAAATTTCACGATAACCCCCTTAATGACTTAAAGTCTACGTTACATCCGCTTGATTCTACATTTGAATTCGCTATATCTATTGCTGCTGCTGATGATGATGATGATGATAATGTTAATGAAGACGATATAATAAGACTAGTGAATCATCACTGTAATAAATTTAGACAAAGTTAGTTCAATTGTAACTACAAAACAACAAAAACAGCTATTGAATGATTCGATTGTAGGAAACTATATTCGACTATTGCATGAACCTCATGAAAAGTAATTTAGACAAGACATTTGGCGTTCGCTTGCATGAAAATACATATGTCATAGGCAATTCTCCAATTTCTTTCCAAAATGATAATGTGTCTGTGAATGATAAAGCATTCAGCAAGACGCCTGGTTTAATGGAACTTCTCTTTCGTAAAGAACTTAATTCTAAATTAATCAGTTCATCGGATATTGATAATTATATAAAAATTCTTGAAAGCACTAACGCTCATTGTAAGAGTTGCGAAATAATCGGCGAATATCGCAATAAGCATGTAGATAAATTCAAAAAGTATATTGGTCCAAATTTCTCTTTGAGCGGTACTGCTAAGAAGCGAAAATTGACTTTGATGGAAGAGGTTTTTTTCCTAACTATAAAATAGCAAGAAAAGAAACATTATTTGATTATGTATATTGAGATGATCCAAACAAGCTTGATTGAGATTACTTCTCGCCGGACAAACCGCCGGTAATCCTAGTCATATTAATGAAATTCATTCAATCACGTAAAGCTGGCTAGATATATTAAGAGAATCCTAAATATTCCTCAGTAATAAAATGAGTGTTGATGTGTTTGAACGTATATTGAATAAAAAGGAGGGTAATCAAGGTCCTCCTGGTGTAGGGTATAAAATCACTAAAGATGGACAATACGACGCAAATGACAAAAGAATTTGTAATATAGCCGAGTATATATATAGGAGAGTAACGATGCTGTAAACTTAAGAACGTTGCAAAAAACTAGTGAAGCTAACGTTACTACACTTACGACTACAATAAATAATCTTAGAAAATCTTTAAATACAATAAGAATAGAATTACGAACGTATGGAGAAGCGATTCAATATTTACAAGCAAATAATTATAATGATAATAATAATAATAATAATATTAAGGAGAAAGAAATAAAGATTACGCCATTTGACTTTTTACATCAATTTTAACAAATAGATTGAAAATGAAACATTAAAGAGTGGTGGATGAGTTACACAAACCAGCACGTCGAAACTATCCTCGTCGAAAAGTCGATATACGTGGAATAGATGAGACGTGGCAAGCTGATCTTCTTGAGATGCAAAGTTATTCTAGAAAGAATAAAGGTTTTCGCTATCTATTAACTATTATAGATACGTTTTCTAAATATGCTTAGGGAGTTCCAGTAAAACAGAAAACTGCTACAGATGTCACTAACGCAATGGAGTCTGTTGTCACGTCGATACGAAAGAAAAAGTACGTGACAAATTATAAGTTATGGTAACAAACCGATAATTTAGTTTTCTATTGTACTAACCCTCCTGGGAAGATTTGTAAATCTATCTAGCGGGATAGATTAGTCTAAGCACGTCTCCATAATATTTCCGCGAATATTACTCACCGCATATTAAATTAGCGAAAACACAGGAAGGGGCATCTCAGCCTACGGTATAAAAAGGCTGGATTGGAATTCGCACAAGCAGTATATAGTATACAGTACGGAGTACACAGTTGACGATTCAGTATTTTGGTAGTTTCGCAAAGTTATTTTTTAAGTCTAACTATCCGGCTACTTAGAACCGGGATTATACTCTGTTAAGTATTATAATTAACTTTAAACAATAAACCTTAAATCAAGCCCAAACACCTGAGACTGTTCGTAAAAAAACCTCTTCTGAAATCCAATCCTAATAAGGTAAGAAACTATTTTATCTACTTAAAACGCCCTACGTATAATAAGGGCGCTATCCCTTTAACCAACCTCTGCTTAACTCCTGACTAAGATCCAACCTTTACCAACGCGACAATACTTGAATATATTATTACGTCTGGCTGTACCATCTCCTCGCTTAGACATAACAATTAGGGGCCCCTCATTTCTTGGTAATTAGGATCTTATCGCAAAATTACAATGGTCGAAACACCTTACGAACGAAAACTAATCACACTAAAAATATTAACAAAAAAAATTAGCGAAATAGAACCAAACTTCACAACAAACAGGGAGCCTACGCTTACAGAATGTCTCACATATCTGCATCAAAGATTTCCACCCACCGAAACAAAGCAAATTACCCGAGTCAAAGAATTACAAAGACTAAAATATAATTTACAAGACTACATTGATACAAGCCAATTAGACTTTTTATGTAAAGATGACTTAATATTTGACATCCTCATTGAAATGACTAGTAAAAATTTAAATCCAGCATTCCTCCTTAACGCTATTACGGATATAAATTTTGAAAAATTAAAATTAGATAAAACTGAAATTCCATTACTCGAGCTCATCGAAAATCAAACGAGTTACGAAACAGCAATTGAAAATTCAGACACGTACAACGCGCCCACTACAAACGTATCTATGACTAACACACCGTCCGCTTCCAAATCACCAGAAATGACTCATAATAAATCGGAAAAAGTCGATTTCACTCCAACTCGACACATTTACCCCTACAAACAAAACTAATTTTACAAGCAGCCCATTTACTATGTATTATACACCGGGGACTTTTAGAACGGGACTAATGAATTCCACTCAAAACATAGTATCGCCAATAAAAAATTTTAGCTTGAAAGACGCTGTTAACTTCGTACCTAAGTTCGACGGATTTAACATACCCTTACACTTGTTTATCGACGGTTGTCGAGAGGCACGTAGCATAGTCCCGACAATCAATGAAAACGATCTCGCCAAGTTAATTAAAATTAAACTAAGCGGTGAAGCACTTAAAAGCGTGCAAGGAAAAATGTTTGATAATGTGAACAAATGATTAAATTTTTAGACTGACTGTTCGGATCAGCAAAAACCTGTAATCAATTAACCCATTAACGTCCAAAATGTCAAAATTTCTTGCACGTTTTCAAAGTGATTTTATCCTATGTAATTGGCGTTGAAAAAATTCTTGAACCACATATTCTGATGAAAAATTGCATGCTCTTTCAGAATCCGTTGCCAGAATCATGATAAAACTCACAGGAAAAGAGATATGCTCGATTGAAACATAAAAAATACCTAAATTTTCGAAAAAAAAAATTTTTAGGATTTTTTTTCGAAGTGTTACGGTGAAGATATCACCGTGATCAAAGGTGATCATGGGATTTGTAGTTTAACAGGGAATTTTTTTGTTTACCTTGAACCATCGCTTCTTTACAAAATGGCGGAAAAAACGAATTTTTTTTTTCAATCTTCATCAACTTTTTTCTCAAAATCTATGGTCTTTAGAAAAAAATTCATAAAAACAAAAATGCCTTAGAATCGCTCGAGGAACATTCTCAAATTTTTTCAGAATTTTCTGAGACAATTTTTGATTTTCCAGGAAACTTGGGAAATGGAATTTTCCAAAATGTCTCCAAAAATTCTGAAAAAATATTAGAATGTTTCTCAAGTGATTCTAAGACATTT